TATTCATACTAAAAACCTTTATAATCAAAATCAAATTCTTATTTGAATCACTGTGTTATCTATCTACAAAGGATTATTTTGATTGAAGTTACTTGTTGAAACTATAAAATAATTCTTGAGGACTTAATTGATCCTATCATAATTTTCTATTTACTAAAATAAACTGATACAAGAATATATGATAAATAGAGTAACTCCAGATACAATATAATGATAAATAGAGTAACTTACACAATATAATGATGATAAATAAATTAAATATTCTAACAAAGTTATAAAAGATATTAATGAGTAAATTTTAAATCTAATTTAATCTTACAAAATTAGTTTATAAGTATTTATGTTTAGTTACATCCTCTAAACTCCTTCAATCATATATATTAAGTGTAAAACTAAATATTAATGGTTACTCGATGAAAAATGGTACCATAAAACCAACAACCAACAAATCTCAAAAATAGATTTAACATTATAAGTCCACAAAATTTTATTAAGGTGAGCTTCAAATGACTTTTATAACATTTAAAAAGTAGACTATAAACATATTTTAATTTTACAAAATTAACTTTTAAAATAAAATTTGTCTCCATATAGTATAAATTTCTCTTATTTCTAACTAAAATGATACTGCAACAAAAAGAAAAGGACTTTAGTAACACATTAGCCAATTTTGAGAACTAGACAAAAGTGATGCGGAAATGTTTTGTGTTTCATTCAAAACTCTGCACACCTACAGAGAGAAATGACATATAAGTATGGATACATGATGTCACAAAAAGAGAAAATCTGTGATGATTAAGCTTCCTACATATGAATGTAATTTGCGACAGTAATCCACAAAGTTAAACTAATCTCTACTCAGGGATGCTTTGTAGCACAGGAGTCCAGCACGCATGGCGATTCCTCTTGGTTGTGGAAACATACTTTGTCTTCCATAACAGCTTCAATCGTTGTTCAACACAAGACACAGAAGATTCCGACGAAAATGTTGGATTCACAGCAGTCATAATTTGAAGCAACCTCCTTTACAACTCGCTCTTTCTCAACCACCAATCTTCATCCCTCACAACCCCTCCACCTTCCTCTCGGATAAACCCACTCCTTTTCCCTTTCCCCAACCCTGCCTTCCAACACTCTCTTCTTCTTCTTTTCACTCAACCCTTCAACACACACCCTTCAACTCCATTCGTCCTAATCTTTCAACCTTAATCACATTCTTCTCTCTCAAGCCAACCTTCTATATATAGAGATCATCGCACCAACTAAATAATAAAAGTATCGGTCTTGTTATCTGGCATTCCGTGCTGTATTAAATTACAAAGCATGGTCAATGAGTAAAATATGCAGAGGAGGTGCCATTTTATATGCATTTATTTTCAACCGCTCACATGCTAGCTCTATAAAGTTTGTGGCACTTAATGTTGGGCCAACTACAATGAAAATGACACGTTTGCATGGAGTGGAAACTTTTCAGGTTAAGTAAGCGTGTTATCTTATCTTCAAACTATACAAAAATTTAGACATTATCATTGTCGATAAACTATTATGAAAGACATCTTCATAAAACCCATGTAACATGTAATGTAACACAGAATCCGTTTCATCTCCTTGTATGAAAACTAGTAACATAGTAACTCTCATAACGCTAACTATATTACTTTATGTTTTAAAAAAAGAACACTTATTTAGACCAAAATTTGTCCTAACAATATAGTATCTCATAAAACTTCACTTTATAATTCTGTAGAATCTTTCCACCCATGTTTCGTTGACTGCTTGAGGTTTGTTATGGAGCCTCTTTTTATTTGGTTCCATTAATATATTGTATGGTTTGCAGGAAAAAATGCACTCTTGAGCTGTCATCATGCTAGTTGATTGGCTAACTACTCCGTTTGAATATATGTTAGGTTGAATTCTGTAGGAATGCTTTCTAGATTTTCTCTCGCAGCCTAATACAGAGTAGCTGGAAGAATGGTAGTACAATTTGTTGTGTTTATTTGTGCCAGTATGGGGTGGTGAAGTCAACATCAAATTTTTCTGTGAATAGTCTGTGGTACACCTCACAACAAGTAATTATGGTTACTGTCATTAATACTTTTGAAATCTGAGAACTGAGAAACAATGTTTTCTAAGAATGGAAGCTTCTTAAGTTGGTGCAACAGTTGTCTAAAGCTTCATTTTCTCTAGTACAATCTTTATCATTTAAGTTGGTAATTTTTCTATAGTTCTGATCTGTATTTGATATTTTTAACACAGAATTCGCTCAGAATAAAATATATTTTGTAATGAATTTTAAATATTCTCAAACAACATCTTATCGCTAATTAATCTCTTTTTTTAATACTTTCTTCTTGTTTTATTTATACACAAGAAAGAAAATGCTTTTATACTCAAATTATAAAGTATTAAAATGTAGAAATGGTCACGTAGTCATAACTTTTGACCCATAATATGTGGTGTTTCTTTTCTTCTAAATATTTGCTTTGATTTATTTATTTTCATCACGACAATTACAAAATAAAAATTAGCAATCAGACAATGTCTATTTTATGTTTGGAAAATTGTTTTTGTTTTATTGATGAAGAGGGTATCTATCTTATTCAAGTACGGTCTCTAAAAAAGTGCAGAGGAAAATATCTTCTTCCATTTCACGTACCTCAATAATACAACTCGGACTCTTGCGCTGCATTTATGAGCTTAAAGACATTTCTCTACTGCCAAATATCTCAAACTCACTGCACAAATAATCTAAATCAACCACTTTTCCAAACAATTCCTACAAATAAATAACTGACATAATAAAACTTTTCACAAACAATTCTACAAAGATATGTAAAAAAAATTAAATACAAGAATAGCTAAATTGAATTGTAAATATAAAACCTCGTGTCTCAATACATTTTCCAGAATGCTAGAAGTTTGTGTTGTAGTTGCCCCTTAATGAGAGACAGACAAGTGAGTGAAAGAAGAAGACAGAAGACGAATTCAGTTTACACTTTCATTCTCAAAATCTAATCTTTCATATCAATCAAAGATACATACCAAATGGGAAAGATAAGATCACTCATCGGTTTTTTTTTTTTTTTTTCAAAAGAGCAAGACACAACAAGTATTCAGGTAGAATTTTGCAATACGAAATTTCAAAATAATTAACTTTTTAAAAATTTATGATAAAAATTTTAATTATTTAAATGTATAATATTTTAAATTTTACTTAAAAGGTATGAATTTGAATTTTATCATAATTGCATTTACATTTATATTTCTTCTTTTATACAATTTTATTGTTTTGATATCTTTATCAACTTTAAAACCACATTCAACGATGTTGAGAAAAAAAAAACATGACTTGATATTCGCTGAAATAGTTATGGTCAATAATAGTTAAAAATAGCTTTAATAGGAGTCAGTAAAAGTATTTCTTGTAATATTACTTGAAAAACAGCCTAACCCAATTCCTGCATAAAAACTCTAATATTTTTAAATCATTAAATAAATTTTAATATTACATTAAAAAATTTAATGATAAACAAAATTCTAAAGAACCAATACATGTGTAATTTTCTTTTTTTTTTTTGTCTTTAGCTGCCCAAATTTATTTTCTTTACCCTCATATTTATCTTCTTTTTTTCTTCTTCTTACATTATGGATTAGGTGAGTTGAGTTTGTCGTTGGTTGGGCCATTTTGTGATGACAAAAGTGTTATTCTCAGTTCAACTATTTCCCATTCAACCCCTTTCAGCCCAAAAACAAAAGTACATCCTTCTTTATTAAAGTGCAAAAAACCTACTAATAAAGAGATTTCAGATCCAACAAAAATATACCTGTACTAAATACAACTCTAGGTGTAATATATAACTCCAAATTAATTGTAACTTTGTGGTATATATAAAATCTTAAGGTGAATGGTCTTTCACTTTCTATTTTTTCACTTTCTATTTTTTCATTTTTATCTATTCTCCTTTTTATTTTTCGACTTAGACTCACATTTAAATTTAACATTTTTATATAATATGAAACTTTAAACTCACATTTGGATTTAGACGCATGATGACAGGTAAAAATCCGATCTTTTTTCAAAAACATTATTTTTCCCAATATAACATACATATACTAAGTAAAGAGTGGTAATTAAAAGAATTGAAAAAGAAAAAGAAGAAAAAGAAAAAGTTTGGTGATATTTGTCTTTCTGTTTACACATTAATATGATCTGCTTTCCCTTTTGAGGGAGAAAAGGACCCAATTAACTGAGATTTAAGAGGCTGTCCATATATTTATCTTTCTGTTTACACATTAATACAGATAATTCAATCTCACAGTAACTAAATTAACTGAGATTTAAGAGGCTGTCCATATATTCATAATGAAGAAAATGAAGGGAAGGTTTCGTTCTACACATCTAACCATTTCTTGTAGGAAACTGCTAACATCATTTCACACTTTTGTCATCGTTAGGTTAAACTATTATGAGAAATTCCTTCCTCTTTCATGCGTGCACATGTTGCTGATAAGGACTTCGATTCAGAAATAAAAAATTACATCTCTCTCTTAACTCAACTCTCACAACACTCATTAATTAAAGTTATTAATTTCAACACTCAACAGCTTTCGGAAAGTGCAGATGTCACACGTTGTTGGGTCTGTAATTATGGCTAAATCAAGGAGACATGGTGAAAAAAAAGGGAATGAAGTAACAGCAGTAAACTAAAGAAAAGAAGAAAAGAGGGTCGGTTATGGTAAAATAATAAGAGAATTGAAAATGAAGTGGAAACGTGACGTTTACACGAAGCTCTCATTTTGCTCCCCACAATTCCCCCAATCGCATATTAATTGGATTTATAGAAATGCCAATGCAATACGGAAAATTCGATAAATCATGAACTTTCGTTAAACACTTTTGAGGAACTTGGAAGCTACGTCTCGTGACCCTTTTGCTTTCCTTTGCTTTCTTTCTTTGAATTGGTGTTGATATCTCAAAAGAATCTTTGGAATCTTCTTTCCTCTCTTACCCTTTTTCTCTATCTTCTTCTCACACTCACTCTCTCGCACTCCACTAGCCTACAATTTCGACACAACACACCGCACCCATCAAAGTATATAACAACAACATATACTTGTGTTGGAATCCGACATTCTTGAGTACAAACTAAAGTTCAAGTCTTGGGTTTGTGTTTTCCATTTTCTTGGAAAGAGGTTTTGCGATGGAGGGTTTAGCAGGTTTGAGCCATCTTTTTGTGACCATATTTCTAACTGGGTTTGGTGGTATCATAGCTATGCCTTCAATAACAGACGTTACCATGGCTGCACTTTGCCCTGGTCAAGATCAGTGCTCCCTTGCCATTTACCTCTCTGGTATCCAACAAGCTGTCAGTACACTCTCTCTCTATATATGCTCTTCATTTTCATTTCATTCTCTTTCAAATTCTCAATTTTGTTCTCTTCTTCAAACGCTTCAAAATTATGTCTTTTTTTTTCATTCATCGATTCATAGTTTTTGCAGAGAAACTATCTACAAATATCTGATATGGACTTTCTGTATATTTTATATTTTTCTGAGCGGTGTTCGGTTGAAGATATACACGTAGGGGCAGCAACTTCTATGATAGGATAGAATGTTCTGTTTTGACTGTTCACACTATTTTAACAGGACACCGTTTTCAGATACCAAACACTTAATAAATAAATTAAAAAAAAAATAGTAATACATAGTTTAATGTTTTTTGACCAATGTTTCGGTTATACGAGTTTTTCTAATGTTGTTAAACGTCAAACTCACTTCACGCTATGAAAGGAAAATTTCAATTACATATGTACCTTGTTTTTGTTTTGTTATATAAATATGTTTTTTTTTTTCACGGACTAGTTATTTTTCCGTTATTATCTTCCAACCGGATTATCCGTATGTTCTTTAATTTTTTTATAAGTTCTGTTTTTAAAATCTATCTTAAATTTTATAATGGTGTCAAATTCATTTTAATTCTGACCTAACTTATTTGAAAAAAACTTTGAGATGAGACTTTTTTTTTATCTTCTCAATTAGAAGTCTTCTAAAAGGAAATTTATTGAAGACTGATCCATGGGTTAAGTTGAGAGTTCCAATTAAAACTTTCTTACTGACAAAACTACTTAGTAGTATGATATTTTACACTTGTGAGTAAATGACAGTAAGAAAATTTTGTAGATGTACAATTTTACAAGAGCTAGTGAACAAAATATACACACTGAAATTAGTTTTTTTTTTAAATGTAAGGAAAAGGGGTGTGAAAAATATAAGATTGTTCTGCCTTTGCCTTTACACACACATAAATATCAACTCTGATACTTTTCTTTCCTTTGAAATTTTGCATATTTTAAGAATTTATTTTTTATTTAATTAGTAGCTGCAGGCACTATTAGAGTGTAGGTGAAAAAAGGTAATTGGATGCATAAATAATAAAAAGGAAAAAAAAATGAATGAAAATGGATTGATGATGCAGATGGCTGGAGTGGGGTCAGTGGTGATGACACCACTCATAGGAAACTTGTCCGACAGATATGGCAGGAAAACCTTGATCACTCTTCCTCTCACTCTATCAGTCATTCCTCATGGTTTGTCACTTTACTCTATTCTTTATTATCATTTTACAAACCTTTTAATTATAATATAATCCCTTTATAATTCAAATTTTAAAAATATATTAAATTTGGTCAATATATTTTCCAATCAGAATGAAATTATAATTTTCTTATAGTGAATTTTGAAAAGAAACATGGTAGGATTGTAGTGTTGACCAATTCATACACTTGGTCCTTTAGTGGGAAGCCTAATGATTGATTATTCCTCTGCATCCATATGAAGATAACGGACCAACAATAACCGTATAAGTCCTTTTTATGATAACATTTCATTCACTCTGTAACACTAAACCAACATCCATGTAACTTGTCATCTCAATTTTTTCACTAAATTACTTCTTATTCAATTAATTACTGTGTAGTATTAGTATGTCCAATCTTCTCAAAATAAAAAAGGACTATATAGTACTATTTTTGGTTTATTAACTAGGTAAAAATTATAAATAAAACATTTCCTAACAAAAATAACTAAACTTATTTTTCATTTTTACCCGTTAAGTTTTAGGATAATAGTAATTACAAAATTTGACTTTATTTACTACTGTTGGACATTCGTGCAGTACGATGTTGTTATAGCTATGATTGCATACTGGAAACAGAGAGATGTGTGTTTGGGAAAAGGAATGAACAAGTAAAACACCCTCTATTTTTACTTTTATCATAAAGTAATGGTTTTTCTTTCACTCTTTCCTACGCAGAAGTTCATTTATTACTGTTGAATCTTTGCTATTGATTCGACATGATTTAAAGAATAAAATGAAAAATACCCTTGCGTTGCGTTATAATGAATATTCTTATTAATAATACATTTCTTCTAACCTCGGTTGGTGACTTTGAACTATGTTAACTGTTGTTGAATAATGCTTCAAAAGTTATTAGAAATCATCAGTTTTCTTACCCTTCAGAACAAAGACGTGATAACCACCTTGATTCAAACAAAACAGTCTTTCATAAATGATTTGTACATGGTTATCAAACATGGATAGAAAAAAAAATATGCAGTACTTTTACAAATATAACAATTTTGTGAATTAATGTGATATATTTGCAGTGATATTGGCATATAGCAGGGAGACCAAATTCTTCTATGCGTACTATGTTGTGAAAACTCTTGCTTCCATGGCAGGCGAAGGGTCCTTCCACTGCCTGGCTTTTGCATATGTGGTATTTCTCATATCTCCATCTTAAACTAAAATTAACTCAATCACCTCAGAGTCAGGAAGAGTTTCTAAAAATAAGCTCAATTTATTTTACTTTCTTATTCAAACAAGTCATAGATTCACTCAGTACATACAGACAATGGTTGTTGGCCAGTGAAATCAATGATGACAACATAATACTAGCCATGGCACAAAAATTTAACGTGTGGCATTTTGATGTTATGAGTATAGGCAGACATGGTTCCAGATGGGAAACGAACATCCGCATTTGGGATACTTGCTGGTGTTGGATCAGCATCATTCGTTGGTGGAACGCTAGCAGCTCGTTTCCTATCCACTGCCTTGACATTTCAGGTTCCATTTTCCTTTCTGTTATGATTCCTACATCCATATTGTAATAAACCATACCTTATTCATGTTTTCCAACATATACAATTTGGTTTAACTATTCAGGTTGCTGCTGTCTTGTCAATGATTGCATTGGTGTACATGAGAATTTTCCTTAAGGATAGTGTACCTGGTGGTGGTGTGAGCCAGCCATTGTTGAAAGAGGTGGAGGAGACATGTGCTGAGGATGATTCATCACGAAAAAGGGCAACAGGAGCATTTAAGAAACTGCCCTCTCTGGGGGATTTGATTTGCTTGCTCAAGTGTAGGTAAGCAAGGGATTGCATTAATTTTGGTATATAGATTGGACAAAATCTCTTTCTGCTACCTTCCTACTACCAACATATTTCGAATTTGATGGAGTTGTTGATCTCACATTTCTGCAGTCCCACGTTCTCGCAAGCGGCAGTTGTTTCGTTCTTCAATAGTCTTGTGGACGGTGGCTTGATGGCTGTGTTGCTGGTAAAGTACTGTTTTCTATACTGAACATAGTCAAGATGGTGACATATTAAGATTTTAGTTGAGATTATGGATAGAACCAAATGGAGATGAGGTTATTCAAGCGTTTGTGAGAATTAGAGTTTTGTAAGGTTTGGATTGAAGGCCTTGATGTGAAACTTTAATTATGATTGGAGAACTAGATTAAAAGCACCTAAACAATTGCAGATCAGTTTTATTTGATGAGGAAGGACAAAATCATTGTAAAAAGTAATTAATTAAATTTCTTACTACATGCAGTATTATTTAAAGGCACGCTTTCAATTCAACAAGAACCAGTTTGCAGATTTGTTGATGATTACTGGGGTTGGAGCTACTCTTGCACAAGTACGCCGAGTCCTAGAACTGCTTAGCTAGCTGTCTGTTATTTTAACATGTTCTTAAAACAACTCGATACTTTCAGTATGCCAAAATTCCGTTGGAAAAGTTACTTGCTCTAATGACCATATGGTTGGTTTTGTGTACTTGCAGCTATTTCTCATGCCCATTTTAGTGCCTGTTATAGGAGAGGAGAAACTACTCTCCACAGGGCTCTTGATTGGCTGCATAAATGTAAGTTCAAGCTCACTCTTCCCCAGATTTCCTATATATATATATATATATATATATAGACACACACACACAACCCTAACCTAAAGTGTATAAATGTGCACACTGAGGCTAACTATGGCACTTCTCAATGTATGTTGCTATGCAGGTCCTTGTCTACAGCATAGCATGGTCAGCATGGGTAATTTTCTTATAACACTTTGTTGTTCTCTTATCACTTCTAGAAACCAACAAGCCTTAAAAACTGTTGAAAACGATGCAGGTTCCTTATGCTCTAGCAGGTTGCTCTATATTCTCAGTTTTTGTGCGGCCAAGTGTAAGTGGCTAACATATCAGTCAAACCCTCAACAACATGTTTTTGTTTTATTACTTTGAAATACTCTCTGATCTCTCACAACGTGGCTGGCACAGTTATGCAGCATTGCATCGAAGCAAGTTGGACCTACAGAACAGGTATCCCTAACTGAAAAAAAGGACTTAGGTTTCCTTCATTTTCTTAAGTATGTTCTCAGAAAGTTCAGTTTCTGAGAACGCAAACTCCTACAATAATTCAGTTGTTGAAACTCAATCTACAACCATGAGTAACAACTTTGCTAAACTTCACATTTATATGCATTCAACAGAATTGATCTCTTCCTTTCTCTTTTAGTCTAATTGATCAGTCTGTGATGTAGGGAATGGTTCAAGGATGTCTTTCAGGAATTAGTTCCTCCGCCAACATCATTGCTCCGTTAGTTTTCAGTCCACTGACAGGTATTACTAAACTTAGAAGTATAATATTAAGGTTGTATGTGGTACTACTGAATTATGTGAAAACAAAAAACAAAAACTGATAAACTTCTCCATCCATCGTATGCAGCCTTATTCCTGTCAGAAAATGCTCCGTTTTATTATCCTGGCTTCAGTATAATGTGCCTTGGGCTAGCGATGGTAAGATGATCGTATTCGTGGCATTATATGATTTTGTAATCATTGACTTATGGTTCATCTGCTGACTGCTTGAACTTTTCATCATCATTTTGTTAATTGGTTTCTGCCAACGTTCCTTGGTCATGTACTGAACACATTACACATTGTATTTCAGATGATAGCATTTTTTCAGAGTCTAATGATCCGAGCTGCTCCTCCTATTGCGGTTGGAAAAATTAGCAATAGCCGCTGCACGGATACTTTGGTCTGAGATGAAGACTACTAGCTCTCGATCGGGCAATAAACATTACACCTTACTGCTTCATTTTGTCTCTGGAAAATTCTTGTTCATAGCTCATCAGACGATAAATTAGAAAGATGGCAGAAGGAATCGCACTATAAGTGTAGATTATAGGGTCTCCACGTATGCTTGTGCACTTGGAGATAAAAAACAGTAGATAGCAAAATACAAAAAATAAAAATAAAAGAAAATTAATCCGGTGAACCAATAGCAGAACCACGTTTCTTTGGAATTATTAAGAGGAAATGTGGCATATGTTTATGAACCGTAGGGTCTCATTAGTTACTGCTAAGTCATTTTATCTTTGCAATGTTGACCATTGTATGCAAACATCCTTAAGCCTTAGCACTACATTTCTAGCTAGTATATATTTTTTTCCAAAGTTTCCACTTCGTAGTCATCAGCAGGAACTTAGTAACTTTTATATTATGAATGAACATTTCAATTTGAGCTAAGTAATGCTATGATTGACTTTACTATTTAAGTTTGCTGCATGAATCTGAAACGAGAATGGTTGTACGGAAAAGAGATTAATCAACGAAAAACTTAGTCTAATAGAGCAAGACCGTAATAAGTTGGCTCTGCAGGTATGAATATATGGCCAAATCCAGGAACAACTATATCTCAGTTTTCCTTACATTATCATGCAAAAAAAGATCCCATTCACTATTTCAATTGTTTTCCTTACATATTGTTACTACTACCATCATTGCCTCTATAAAATTTCATAAAGGAAATAAAATGGGAAAACAAAAACTAGAATGGAGGATAAATAATAATAGCCGAACTGTCCGATACACCTTATCAAGCAATGGCAGAAATCAAAGGAAAAATTTATTTAATGTCTTGTACATTTTCAAATTGATAATCATACAAATGAGTTCAAAGCTATATATAAACATGTTACTGTACGAGTCCCGTACAAATTTTACTATAAAGCATGAAAACCTAGAGAATATACAAGACATCTAAACTGAACTTCGATACAATCAGGCAGAAGGTATATGATCCATATGACAATTCACTTATGAAATGGGAAATATGTCATTGTCGTCATCGTTATCATCCATATACCTAAACTTAAGATCATCCCATCCTTCTCCTTTAAACTTAAAACTTGAATTCAAATAGCAATTTGTCTCCTGAAACAAGTTCAAGTGATCCACCAGCTTATGATACGCATTGCATCCACAGCACTGACAACAATGACAAATGGTCAAGATTTTGCTTAAGGGTTTAGAGTTCAGACCCCGCCCCATACACACATAATTATTTAACAATATGTTAAAAAAATCATATACACATGTTATTTGAGAAAATAAATTTATGTATCAAAATATTAAAATATGTATAAAGTTATAACATTGTCAACTTTTTAGTATTAAACGAACGAGTCTATTTCTCTAACATATGGTGGTCTCATATCTGGTAAGCAGAAGACAACCAGAGAATAGATAAAACATCTTATTTCTACGATAATCTCACAGAATATATAAAAAACAGTTTTTTCAAAAAGCAGACTGCACCAATTAGTCTGACTGGTTCAACCATGAACAAGAAATCAACCAGTTTGATCAAGCCACGTAAAGCATTACTTTAAAACCAGCTTTAGAAACATTGAACCACAGAAACCAATCTGATTGTTCATGAGCCGGATCAATGTTCTAAAATTGAAAAATGATTGATATTTTGTGCAGGTATCCAACTTTTCTTTTGATTGTTATTTTTATACATACTATGACAAACATTCATTTCATTTACACACGCATAACAGTTCAACCAAAGTTTTCTCGTAAAACCATGAATCAGTTCCGTTTGGCAAACTGCCATTAGTTTATGATTTGGCTCCAACTTCATATCAAGAAAATCACTGAGACATGTGATGATAGGGTTAAGGTTAACAAAAGCAAAAGGTTACCTGCACAAAGACAGTGCCATCAGTGTAAGCATGGGGATTAATGGCTCGTGTAGTTCGCTGGCCACAGATGGTACAAGTAAAAGCCACCAGCATCCTTCTCCTAGGGGATTTGGTGAAGAGAGACCATGGGAAAGTGGAGATGTTCCCCGATTCATTACCCCTACCAACTGCAGGAACAGAGGGACCTTCCATCCCTGAACCAGTGGTCCATCCTCTACCCACCGCAGCACTCAGTACCAGTCCCATCGCAGCATCCTGACCCAACAAATTCTTATCAGAATTTAATAACTTTCATGACCAAAAAAAGTACACTTTTATACTCCATTGCATCTAATGCAAGGCACATCACTTGACCCTTTTAAATACCGATGCAAATTGAACTTCAGATTTTGGAAAAGGAATAACCAAATTATATATTTCCATGACAACAATTTTATTTTTATTCATTGCATCCATTTCACGTAAGGTAACGGACCCTTTGAAATTTCACCTATGTTAGGCATGGAAAAGCATTGAAGCATAAATTTGGGAATATGATTAACACAGTTGAT